ATATATATATATATATATATAATATATATACCTATATTACCATATATATATATATATATATATAATATATATATATATATATATATATATATATATATATACATATATACACATATATATATATATATACATATATATACCTATACATATACATATATATACATATATATATATATATATATATATGTATATATACATATATATACCTATACCTATACATATACATATATATATACGGGTTTGTAGAAGACATCAGATTCGTGCTTTAGAGTATTTTCCTTCGGATATATGACAGGAAACTATGACTGTAGGTATACTGCACGAAACCTGTGAAGTAGGATCTAGTCACTATGTAGGAGCGTACAGACTCCTCACAACAGTCTGAACATCCACACGAGTAGCTTACACACACCACATGCTACTGCTAAGTGCGACGTATGTGACGGTTGTTTAATACAACACCAATCCAGTATAACATAGCACATACGCGAGCATGCTCCGTGTTATAACTCAACCACCAGTATATACTTGACTACTACCAGAGCTACACGCTTCGAGTGGGCATGTATTGTGCATGTCTATCGAACACGTACCGAGCCGCCTTGCCCAACAGCGCGGGACTGGGAGTGCGGGTATCGTCCAGCAGATACGCATTGACATCGGACACCAACTTCTTCATATCTTTCAGGGCCTGATATACCGCAAAGCGTAAACGGGTAAGAAGCACAGCGTAAACGGTTGAGAAGCACAGCGTAAACGGTTAAGAAGAACAGCATAAACGGTTGAGAAGAACAGCGATTGGCAGATGTGTGGGGCGAAGTTGGATCTGATACCGAAACGCCAGGATATCGCGAGATGTGTGTGATGTATGCCACAACAACCCATACTTATGCCTACCCATGAATACGTCTACCTACACATGTGCCAGTGCATCACTAATACTATCACTTAGCAATAGTACGTTGTCTTTGTACCCGAGCTTGACATTAGTCCGCTGTCAGTGCAACATATATACCTACACTTAACATATATACGTTATCTGTGTCCTTGCACTTGAAATTAGTCCACTGACCTTGCATCCCATGTACCTACACCCACCACTAGTCCCTAGTCCATACATGTCCCTGCACTCGACATAAGTCTACTTTCAGTGCCCGCCCATGCACCTACCTGGGGCGTGTCGATGTTGTCGCATAGTGAGTTGTGCACATTAGTCTCTGCTTCGACTATCTTGTCGTGCAGGGTGCGCTCGGCCGTACCGAACTTTGACTCGCGCGTGTGCTGACGCATTTCACTCTTAACATTGAGGAAGAACTCGTTGAATACCTGTGTACACATGCGTGAGTGAGTGATTGAGTGAGTGAGTGAGTCAGAGAGTGTGTGTTGACATTGAGGATGAACTCATTGTACACCTGTGTACACGTGCGTGAGTGTGAGTGTGTGTGTGTTTATGTGTACAAGTAGTATTATGAGAGTGTGCACATATGCGTAGAGATGTTTGTGGCAGTGCTGCGAAGCCATGTCTTGTCCAAGTGAGTAATTTGACTTTAAGTGCTGCTAGCGCAGGGGTTTAGGGTTTAGGGTTGAGTTTGGGGTTTCTTAATCATTAATAACCCTTGTTCTGTATGTTCTTGCTCTTGTGCACGTGCTTGCGCGTTTCACAGTATCCGTTGGGAAGGCACTCATTGAACATCTGCACGAATATATGTGCCACTGTTATTACGTGAACGTTAAACCAGGCAGAGTTATATCCGTTAACATGCACACGCACTAATTTGGGTGCGTGAACACACAAGTATGTAGGTGTGTGTGTGTGTAGATTTGGGTATTGAAGTAGGCGTGTTTATCCAAAACGTTGGGTGCAGGCCCGTACTGGAGAGTTCACAACGCCTGCTGTGCTGCTGCAACGGATTGCTATAGATTGCCTTCTATATCCGTTCATGATAAAACCAATAGAGTGATTTAAACGCAAAGATGAGAATGTAGGGGGTTTGCCCCAGCACACAACACAGAGACACCACTGATACACAACAATGCGTATACGACTCCCGCATAAACGTTTATGCGTGCGCGAGAATATGCGCAGAGATGTTCTGACTGTGAACACTCACGCGCAGTTCACTTGTGTACGTATACACAATTCAGAATACCACTCACACGTTGTCCGGGGAGTTGTAAGTGCCTAAGTGCCCGTTGATGTGGTGGATTCAGGGATGTGAGGAATGACTACTCAGCAACTAATACATAAATATGTATATGTATATGTACATGTACATGCATATATAGTAATATCTAAGTATATAACAATAGCAATAAGAACAAGAATAAGAATAATATATATATACACATACACATACGCCCTACCTTCTCCGTGTGAATAGCAACAGTCATGGTGTTCTCACTGTAGTCCAGCTTGCCTCCCCAACTGTGTGACAGGAACATCAGACGCAACTGACGCGCACTGTGTCTAGACAGCGCCTCTTTGATTGTGATGAAATTCTTGAGCGATTTCTGTGGTGTAGTCGGTTGAATTGGGTTGGTTACACAAGTTCTACTACACTTTAGGTAATACATATTATGTACATATATATATTTATATATGTTCACTACAAATAACTAATAATTAATGTCCGGGACTGCGGGCTTCCCTTGAAGTGTCTATTTCTTATATTCCACTCAGCGGAATCGTGTGTGTTGTACAATTATACCCGCACAGCATGTTGCTGTTATGTGTATAACAACTGTGAATGGTGTATACAGCCATGATGCTACACGACACCATTGTTCAGCAGTGCAAGTGTACAGATGATTCCCAATACAAACCAATGCACATCACAATACATCATCCCACACACCGACATCTTGCGGCCCTCGATCTCCAGGTGGCCCGCGTGCAGGAAGTAATTGACCCACTGGCGACAGCCGTAGTACGCCTCGGCCTGTGCGATCTCGTTGTCGTGATGAGGAAACATCAGATCCATGCCACCACAGTGCACATCCAGCTTGCCTGCAGGGTGTGAATGCACCAAAGGTGTGGTGAGGGTTTAAGGTTTAAGGTTTATGGTGTAGGGTTGGGGGTAGGGGGTTGGGTTTAGGGTACAAGGTTTGGGGGTGGGGGGTTAGGGTTATAGTATATAAGCGAGTCGTATGCTCACCTTTACACTTGAGCACCTGCGCACTACAGTACAGTTGTCAGGGTTTACAGGTTAGGGTTTATAACCTTGCACAGAGATTATGAGCCAGAGCTATACGCTGAGCGTCCGCAGAAGACCCACTCACAACCAGACAAGTGTTCTTAATAGAAACAACAATCGCAAACACAGCAGATTGCAAGGTACCATAACTCCTTCTACACACCCCACACTTACGAGTGGTGGTGGTGCCAGACAAGTGTTCTTAATAGAACCAACAATCGCAAACACCGCAGATTACACGGTACCATAACTCCTTCTACCACCCCACACTTACGAGTGGTGGTGGTGGTGTGTGTGTGGGGGAGGGGGGGGGGTAGGTAAGCTATACAGGCGCACACATATGCGAAGCCACACACACGCAGCTGACTTGTTACTGGCGCACCGCCATATAGGTGTATGAATATGAAGTGACAGTCACTGACATCGAACTAAACAACGGTATAGTTTGCACATGCACAAGGAATAACATCACTTAGCATAGACACTTGGACAGCTCAACCTAACGCACACGAGCACAGAGAGACACCCGACGAGACCAACACGGATACTTGAACACCACTACGCCTGTAAAGACTTATACATAGTACTTGCAACACTGACTACGCTCACCTAACAATGGCAACCCCAAACCTGATATACAATTACACATCAATGCAAGCCTATGACAGCACTGACCATGGCAATGAACTCGATGAGTCACTCTTGAACGGCTCAAAAACGGCACGGGGACATATATATATATATATATATATCTATATGTACCTATATCTATATCTATATCTATATACGCACACACATATATATATATAAATATACAATAGGAGAGAAAGAAGCTCGGATGCTACCCTACAAGACATACTAATGTCCCTACAAGCACTCCATATTCAACAACCACACATCAACAGACATCTGTGATGACACCAACTGACCATATCACCACACTCGAGAAGCCACCCTGGACAGGTCAACAAGACATACCAAAACACAATATCTCCAGTACATGCCAACATACACATACCTAATGCCCCCCTACAAGCTCTCGACATCCAAAAACCACCCATCTATGCACACCTGGAATGACATCACTGGCCATCGCACTACACTCAATGTGCCATCCTGGACGGCCCTTGCCCCACGGAGACGCCCACGAGGGCTCTCCAGGCTTAGACGCTTTCCACAGCGCAAAGTCCTGTGGTGACTTCTTCACACCGCCACTCGACAGTGCTCCTTCACCCTCGGCTGCAAAATGAGTGGGAAAGGTGTGAGATGAATTGAGATCTGTGCTCTTGTCGTAAAGAGAATTGGAATGTATGTATATAAAAATGTATGTATGTATGTATGTTTGTATGTATGTATTATGTATGTATGCATGTATGCATGTATGCATGCATGCATGTGCGTATGTAAGTATGCATGCATACTATCTATATATATATATATATATATATATATATGTATATATGGCTATATAGCTCGTTTAGCTCGCACGACTACCCTGCCAAGTCCTTTGACCACTTCTTGGGGCCTATACCCTTCATCTGTTAAACTACTAATGAAATGGACAAACATCTTACTACAAGCCATGCTAAAATGCTGTACTAAACCAAATTCCTCGCATAGGAAGTACTTGGTGGTGCAGACTTAATAGAGACAGACTGTGGCCGACAGACAAAGACAATCTCCGTCACAAGTACGCACAAGGCGACCTGCTAGAGTGCACACACGCGCACATCGACCCACAAACCAACAGAGGGCTACGGAATACTTTGTGGACAATATAACAACCTTTCCTATGCACACCAACCGTACACTCACATAACATAATCTCTCCTATGTACATAACATAATATCTCCTGTGCACAAAGTACTAGTCGCTTGGTCAGTAGACTGCATGCACACCAGCCGTGCACACTCCTATGCACATAACATAATCTCTCCTATGCGCACAACACAATCTCTCCTATGCACATAACATAATCTCTCCTATGCGCATAGTACTAGTCGCTTAGTCCATAGACTGCATGCCCACCTAACAAGCCCAGGTCATTGGCTGCCTCAGGCACACACTTGGCGTAGTCGTGCAGTGGGTTGGCGTCAAACGCCTTGACGTCAAAGTAGACGGAACCTATAAATAGAAATGAAAATAGAAACGAAAACCTATAAATAGAAATGAAAATAGAAACGAAAACCTATAAATGGAAATGAAAATAGAAATGAAAGTCTACAAATAGAAATGAAAATAAAATTGAAAACCTATAAACATAAATGGAAGTAGAAATGAAAACCTATAAATAGAAATGTGTGCGGTTGCTTGGCAACTGCTGCCGGTATGTGCTACCATCAAGTACAAGCTCCCTGCGTACATTATTGCTGATCTCCGCACCATCGCGCAAGCGGCAGTGTAAGCAGAATGTTTCACTTATAAGGGAAAGCTTTACTAGGCCTGATCTACTGGTTTCTTTGCGTCCGTGTGACTTTTATGTGCGCTATACATAGGATTATGTCGAATTGAGGGGTATGCATATACATTCATACATACACACACATATAATGTATATACATATACATATATATATATTATATGTGCAGATATTGTTTCAACACAAAGTGCTGACCAGAGCTTACCTTGAGACTCGTATCCGTAACCGTTTGCGATGATCTTCTCAACGTACTCCACAATCTCCGGTACATATTCACTCACTCGGGTGAGACAGTCTGGGGGCAACACCTGATTGTGGCAATCCGTTTTTATGAATGTTAGCAAAGATTGCCGACCCGTTTGGTGAGTACAGCACAGTGTTGAAAATTCACAAGCACATGTCCATCCACAACATACACATACATACATGTATATATGAACCGATGACATATCCTTTTCTATAGCTCACACATGTACTGGGAACAGACGCCCATACGCAATACTCTATTCTCGATATACACACAGCCAGACCACAGAGGAGTAAGCAGCTCCCAAACACGTACTTTGAGGGCATCCATATCCTCCATGTAATCCGCCTCCCAGAAGGCCGACAGCTTGCTGAAAATGTCGTTGTCCGTGACTTCGGCCCCGTGAAGGGCGTCCTGCCATTCGGAAATCGGGTCTTTTGCACCTGAAAGGGATGTTGAAATGGCCAGTCACGCAAACATTGAGCAAAGGCACTGGTCGCTACTATGCAACGATGGTGTCACCTCACATTCAATCATTAGGTTATAAGAGGTACGGTTAGCCAAATGGGCCGAAGTCTATCAGTGGTGGCCCTCCGGGGTGATATACTTCGTAGGAATGTTTCGGCTTCCAGTACAGCGACATGCATCGCAGCTATCAACCGAACTTCTATTCTAACGGACCAGCTAAGATTCACACACCTTCCAGCAATGCGCTCAGATCCTCCGCTGTGCTGTCAGAAGATTCAGCAACAGCCTTCAGTGATGCGATCTTGGACAAGACATTGGTGTACATTTCCTGTAACCAAACGTATACAATACATGAGAACCAAGCTTGCTAAGCACATCCGCGCCCGATAGTATAGATGCTCAATGACGATCTGTGCAGTGATTCACACCCAGTAAGGTACTTATATATACTTATATATATATATAGGTTTCAATGAGGTCATGAGGGGTCTACCGCTTTTGTGGAGAACCTTGCCAACGTCACTGGAATAAAAATATCAATCAACACACGCTTCCGTATGATCAGCAAGCAGGTTTATTTGCACTGCATCGCCATCGCATACTACCGCTGCACTCTATGATGCCACAAGCATGTATGCATGATATATGCATGATATGAACATACATGCAAGGAACGAATGTTGCATGCATGAATGTGTGCAATGACTACTACACTCACGTACCTTCTTTGCGGGCTCCTCTTCTTTCGCAGCCTTAGCCTCGAAGGGTGCCATGGCGGTGGCCAGGTCCTTCATCAACTCATCCTTTGGAAGATTCTGGTAGTATATGACAATGGTGCGATGACTTTTGATTCTCGAGAGTCACGGACAAATGTGGGTTTGTGTAATGTTCGGTACAACATATTTTGTGTATTTACATATATCAGTGAGGGTGAGTGTGCGTGTACTACGAGGGATACAAAAGGGTAGATTGATTGACGGTGCACATGCATTGCTGAGCACACATACATATGGCCTAAACGTATAAACGTAATTTATATGTTTACTTTGTGCATTCACGCGTTTGCGTGATACACATGAGAAATGCACACGTTATAGCCAGCAAGTAACACAGTACGATAACGTTTTTAGTTCGTTTTTGAACCATTCTATACCTGTATGTGTGTGCATTATCTTACACATTGCGTGTATATCCGTATACGAACATGCATTCATGAACTTGCGTACGAAATTTTGTTAATATACACGTCCACCCACTCCATCATCCCAAAGTATCAATTCGTAACAAGCAAACATATAATCACCAGAACACGCTTCCGGTACACATATGCACATAACGTGGGCGTACCTTTCCTGTGCGGTAAACATACACACTTGTACGCGTAAACATACACACATATACACACATATATGCATAAACATACACACATATATGCGTACACATACACACATATATGCGTAAACATACGCGTGTATATGCGTACACATACACACATATATGCGTTCACATACACACATATATGCGTACACATACACGCATATATGCGTACACATACACGCATATATGCGTACGCATACACGCATATATGCGTACACATACACATATATGCGTACACATACACACATATATGCATACACATACACACATATATGCGCACACGTACACGCATATATGCGCACATATATGCGTAAATATACACACATATATGCGTACACATACACACATATATGAGTACACATACGCGTATATATGCGTACACATACGCGCGTATACGAGTGCGTGGGCGTACCTTCCCAGTGTAGAGGTTGAACAGGTGATTCCGACGTGCACGCAGAATGATTTTGTCGTCGATGTCTGTGATATTCATCACATGGAACAGGCGGTAGCCAAAGTAGTCCGTCATAACACGCCTCACAATGTCAAAGGAGATGTACGACCTGCAATACCAACCACCCGTGCGCGTACGGAGGTTAGTCTGTGTGGGTGTGCTACACTGTGCTTGTATGCGCCATGCCACTTCTCACAGTGGCGTACCAGGTATGCGATTGACATCCCAGAGAAGGGCACCAATTCAATTCTGCAAGTTATGGTCTCTTGCTTCTGATACTTATGATCTCGTGCTTCTGAATGTTATGATCGCTTGCTACGTGTGGTACTATGTAATGGGTTTAAAACGAGTACATCGACCTCAGGCGGCGATGGAGACCCGTTTCGTTTAGGTTTAGGTGTCGAGGACTCGGACCTTTTGCTGCGCATATCTGCCACCCATGTGAGTTGTCTGTGCCTATCGCCACGGGCATGTCTACACGGTTGTTGTTGCATAGAGCTAGCACCATGGACTGGATATATATATATGTGTGTGTGGGGGTGTGTGTGTGTTTATATATACAGATATGTATATATATATATACAGATCAGCAGTACTCGCCTGTCGCGCTATATGCTTCCGCTATGGGCTCATACCAAGCAATGCGTTTCAGTGAGTGCCGGTGCAACCATGTCTCAAACGAATGCTTCTCGTACTAGTCATGGATGTATCCGCACGGTTAGAAGGTTCCGTGCCAGCCTGTACCAGATATGCAGGCGAATACAAATCATAAACAAAGAACCACAATAAAATGAAAATAACAAAAGTGTATTAATAACCAGGCTTATACAAACCATAAATAAATAAACTAGCAAGTTATGAAAAAGGCATATACAAACCATAAATGAATAGACTAACAAGTGTATACTGATAACCAGGCATCTACAAACCATAAATAAATAAACTAACAAGTGTATATTGAAAAAGGCATATACAAACCATAAATAAATAAACTAACAAGTGTATATTGAAAAAGGCATATACAAACCATAAATAAATAAACTAACAAGTGTATATTGATATCAAGGCATATACAAACCATAAATAAATATACTAACAAGTGTATATTGATATCAAGGCATATACAAACCATAAATAAATATACTAACAAGTGTATATTGATATCAAGGCATATACAAACCATGAATGAATAAACTAACAATTGCGTATTAACAACCAGGCATATACAAATCATAAATAAATAAACTAACAAGTGTATATTGATAACGTGACACGTACCTGGCATGTCCCATATGCGAGGCATCGTAGACAGTAGGTCCACAGATGTACCATTTCACGGTATTGCCATCCTCGGGTGCGAATGCATTCTGAGAGGACAAGTACAATGTTTGGTGTGTGAGGGTGTGTGGTGTGTAGTTGGTTCGGTTCGAAGCATTGGTTTTCAAGCGAATTGTTTTATTGTTTTCTGCCCGTTGTTTGGCCCGGCTTCGCACCTAACATAACATATGACAGTACTTCAGATGTCGTATTGCGAAATATACACACAAACTCCCATACCTCCACAATCAAGACACACAGACACACACAGCCATA